GGCGGGGTGGGGGAGGCACTGCGGAGTGGTGGGGGGCGGCCCAAGGGGCTGGGAGAGGGTCCGGCCCACTCTGCGCCTGGGCTGGGACTGTCTATGTATACATTGTGAAATGATTTCTACAATCAAGCTAATTACTATTTCCATGAACTGACAGTTATCACTGTGTGCGGTAAGAATATTTAAGATCTCACTTAGAAATGTTTTATACATGAATTTATATATTTTCTTTAAAAAAATTTCTTCTCTGCATTTATCAAGAAGAACCAGTTTTCAAGTAATGATACAATTTGAAACTCCAGTTGTATGTTATTCCACTTGCTCCTCAGAAATTAACTAGTCATCACCACCAGCTTCCCATTCCTCCCCATGACTGTTGCCACCATCCCTGCTCAAGTGTTTTCTACCTAAATCTTGACAGTTGCATATGTGCTAAATGGGCTCTACCTCTACTCTACTGGGAGCAGCTAAAGCTGGAAATTGGTCATACATCTGAGGGCAGTACAAGGCCACAGTACCTAAAGCAGTCAAGCTACTTCATTCTTGAGAAAAGTATCCCATCATTAGTTGCTAGGCAAGCTTGTAACTCATACTAACTTTGCAAGAGTATAAATAAATACAGCTAAAGTTAATGTTCAGGTCTTTTGGCCAACAGGCAAACAAGCATCCAATGACCTCAGCTTTTGTCTCATGTTTATTTTCTAAATCCCCTCACCACTTTCCTCTGGGTATTACCAAGAGACCAAGGAGTCCCTACACTGCCCATGACAAAGTAAAAAGGATGTGCTCATAACAGCTCTACTTCAACATGACCCTACAGCAGCACTTTGCAATTCCTTTGAGTTTACTCTGTGTATACTTTCAAACTGGGGACAGGAATAGAGAGAAAGTGAGCTGGGATGAACCTTTTCTAAATGAAGTAGACCAGGTGTACACACCTTTAAATTTAACATCCCAAAGTAAGAACTATATACTTGCTTTAGTTAGCATACTGAGATCTGCAAGTGCTACCCTTCTAGTAAGAAGAACATGGGACAATGCTATCAGATTAATCTTCTTTAATGACCACTTTTGACCACATTTTTTCTTTTGATACAGCACTTTTAAGAGCTCTCCCTCACCTACAGGTAAATGGCCAAATTCCTCAACCAAGCAGGGTCTTTAGTGAGCTGGCCCTAAAGAAACTATTTATCTTTGTTTCCCACTAATGCCTCATTTTTAGGTGCACACACCCATGCTGAAAAATGTATCTTTTAATGAATGACACAATTTATTTGACATGGTATATTCCACCTATTGACACTGTTTACTATCTATCTATATATGCATTCAACTGGTTTAGAAGTTCCCCAGAGAAGAGCAAATTGAATTAGCACCTTCCTATTCCTTGAGTGCTGGACGTGAAGTAGATACTCAGTGACTGTTGGTAAAATGTGATGCTCATTCTCTCACATTCAATCTAGCCAAACTGGCACTCCTGAGTTGCTCCTCTGCTCCTAAGTTGTTACTCCCCCAGTTAAGTAAACGATACTGTTAATCATCCAGCATCCCATACATGAAATCTAGAAGTTACTCTATCCTCATTTTACACCCACCAAGTTCAGAGAACTCTACTATTAAAATTTACCCTGCCCACACTCATTTCTTAAATTTATAAAACATTTGGTCATTGTTTCTCTAACACTCATAATAATACCAGATACTACTACGTCACTCCTTTAGTCTCCATGCTGGCCCCCTAAGCTTTCTCTAGGCTTCCTCTTCTATCTATGCTCTACACAGCAGTCAGAAGAATCACTTGCCAAATGGAAAGTAGACCATATCACAACTTTCTCTAGCACTCAGAATAAAATCTGAATCCTTTACTTGGCCACCAAAGCTCTAGGTACATTGCTCCTGCCCACCTATCCATACCCAAGTCATACTGTCCTTCCACATCCCTGGGATCCGGCCATGCTAGTAAGCATAGCTGCTTCCTGGCCCTACAACACATCAGGCCTTATTTCTGCCTTGAGGACTTTGTATAGTTTTTCCTTTGCTTCGATCATTCCTCCCTCAAAACTCTACAACTTAATCACCAGTCTGCCCACCTGAACACTTTCAATCCTATCCCACTGTTTTACTCTTCCCAATCACTTATCTCTGTCTTGCTCACTTATTTCTTGTTTACTGATAAGTACACCCTGACTCTTCATAATAGGCAAAATAAAATGGCACATTGCTGGTTTTGGTCATTGTTTCTCTAACACTCATAATAATACCAGGCACATAGTAGACACTAAATAGGTGACTTGGATGAATGAATGAGTGACCTCAAATGCTTTAACACCATTATTAAGTCAGAAGTAAGAACAGGAGTATCGTTTTATAGACAGGAAAACTGAAATTCAAAATTATTAAATAACTTTGTTGAAAGTCATATAGCATGTTAGGCTTAGAGTCAGAATTCAGTCTTTAGGCTTGAAGTTCAGTGTTTTAGCTGTTATACCATGATGCTAAAATATGGTTAATTTTAAATCATTTTATTGTTAAATTGTTTTTATTATAAATGAAAATATTTCTAATGAAAGAAAAGATTCTAATAAAATCTATTGCCAATTCAACTATATCAAACATAACACAAAACAATTAAAAAGGTAAATATCTATTTCACATATATAATTTTCTTTAAAATATATGACATTTTAAATATACATATATATTACAATACTACTCATAGCCATTATCTGCATATATCTGCTGATATATAGTTAAGACATTCAATGGACAGCCTACGTTATACACATACATACAGATATTATATCATCTATGATTATATTTTTCTCTTTAAAATTTCTACAACAGTATCTGTCCTAGACATCCTAGACTTCTTTCAAATGTGTGATATACTTTAATTCAGATTTATAAAATTCTGGACCACACAAGATATACTATTTGATGATTATTGACACTATAATCAAGTAAGAGCATTTATCTACATTGAAAAATATTTTCCAAAAAGATTAGAAGGACTTATTTTAATTAAACACAAGAGTAAGCAAGCATGGGAATGTATTTTAAGATTCTGTTAAACAACTCTTTGATCACTCTTTTAATGAAGTGCTAAAGAATAACATAAGAGCTTTTATTTCCTTCTAAGACAACACATAAGCCCTTTTGTACAGAGTTGCCACAGAAGACATAACGGTACTAGAAATGCCCCATTAAAAGAACACTCTTCAAAGATTTTAACATACCCTTTCAAAAGCCATTCATTGATGGATGTGATTGATAAAAGCTGAAGAAAGAGCCATATTGCTGCTGGGAAGAATGCAAGTGTAAAGATCTGAATAAAAAGATGCAGTTTTAAATGCACCAAAGCACTGGTCAGCTCCTGGAAAAAATGAAGGATACAAAGTAAAGGTAAGCAAACTACTTCCGCAAAGAGATTACTACTAAAATAAAATTACAAATTTTGAATTACTCATTTCTTTCATAGCTAAAATCTTTATTTTTTCTTAAATACACTTTAAGAGAAAAAAGTGTAATACACATGGCATTATAAAGTACATTCATATACAACTTTTGAAATATTGTAACTTATTTCAAATAAGTCACATTTATAAAATTGACCAAGAGCTACAGGTTAGTTATCTCAATATTAGTTCAGATCTGAAGGTTTATAACATTAACAAACATGAATGTTCACCTAAATTAGAAAATGAATCTTTTAAACAATGTTCAGTAAGACATATCTTTTTAATTAAATATTTTAATCTATCCATTATACTAAATTTACAAGCCCTCAATTTGGCAAGATGCTACTAATTCTACAAAAAATAACTTTTAAATGGTTCCTTCAATGATAGTGTGCAGTTCAAAGAGATCCCCCACCGTCTACTTGTTGTAATTCTTCGTTAACATTTATTAAATAACAGCTATAGGCCATCATCTAAGATCTTCACTTTACATCTGTTATCTCAGTTCATCTGCACAACAACCCTATTGGGAAGATATTATTATCACCCCTATTTACTAATGCAGAAGTTGAGGTTGAGAGCTAAGACAAAGTAAAAATCAGCATCAAGCCCATCTCTAGCACACTATCATGTCCAAGACTGTACCACACACGTGGCTGTTCCAAGGGGGGAACATAACCAGGTACTTCTTAGGACTCCTGCAGTAAAAAAATAATCATCACTTAAATTCCAGGGTTTATATAACTATAAATGTAAAAGCATTTCTATATAAATGTGTCATGTGGTTATCAGTTGAAACAAAACAAATTTAGAAAATAGAAAAAGCATAGTCCTTTAAAACACAGAAGTCATTACTAAAATACATATATTTGAAGATGACAGAAGTTCACTAGTTACAAACGAAACTCTAAGGCCCCTACAAGGAAGATGTTCCAGAGATCCTCAGCCTCAGGGACATTGGCCAAAGTTTGTAAATTTAATGAACAGTAGTTTATATGACTCATCCACCTATCACCACCTTCTGGGACCTGTCAAATTTGTGTTCCACTATGTATCTTCATGTACAGAGACAAGAGGCAATTCATAATAGGTTTCTACAAACACAGAAGGAATTTCTGGCAATCTAAGTCTAATTTAGGATGACTGGAAACACCAAGCATACCAGAACCAACATAAGGGACTCAGATTAGATCTTAAAAAAACAAAAAAAAGCCATCCTAGAGATGAATCAGAATCCCTAAAGCTGTACTCAGAAAAAAACTTGAGCAGTCTTGAAGCCAAATCTCATCTAAGAATATTCAGAAGTATATCATGCATACCTATATCTATTCATCTGAGCAACAGATATGACCATGAAAGTATGTAATACAACAACCATTGTTAAATTCTTATTCTTGTTTTGAAATTCTGTACCGTATGTATTGTTTGTTACTCTGTTTCTGTTATTTGTTTTTGTTTTTACTGTTTCAAAAACAAAACAAAACAAACACACAAATATAATCCATGGGAAAAAAATCATGAGTTGCACTCACTGAGACATTGGCCTGCCTCTCTATCACCCTCCCTCCCTCCCTCCCT